TATGAGTGATGATAGATGGGTCAATTCTAGGCATATCAACGGTGAACCAAGCAAAGATGTTGGCATTAGTTTTGAGGAAACTTACTAGCTCGGATAGGCATTCAGGGGGAAGGTTGGACCCAACGTTTACTATCTTCTCGAGCTCGGCCTTATCTAGGGGAACCGAGACGAGGTCCTGGGCTCGCTGGTTCCTCCCTGAGGTCAAAGCCCTCTAGTGGCAGTGCTTCCTCGTTCTTTCCTTTCAGTGCTGCCACATAGCACTGGTGGGTTGCTTGCTGGTCCCCTCGATCAACTCCGACGCCATGCTCGATGGGGAACTTGAGGGCGAGGTGAAATGAGGAGGTGGCTGCCCTTAGCGCGTGAAGGGTCGGTCTCCCCATGATTGCATTGTAGGGCAAGTCGATCCTCATGACCAAGAACTCGTTCATCATTGTCACCTGCTTGGGCTTTGTCCCTACCAACAATGGGTAGCTCCTCTGAAGGTGGCGTGGAAAGTCTGCCACGTCAAGGCGTCAGAATACCCGTAAAGTAACATGAGCACTCTGAAGCTCTCCAGGTGGTCGTCAGGGTCTGAGGTGCCATTGTACATTTCCAATGTAGGGGCCTTAAAGTGTTGGAGGAGAGGCTCGAAGATGATATCCAAGGTGAAGGCATCCATTCTCCTTGTCGGATTGCTTTGGTCGGCTGAGGCGTCAGCTCGGCTCTCTAGAACTTGGCAGAACTCATCCTTGATGGCCCCGAGCTCAGCTCACAACTTAGCAATCTGAGGGTTGGGTGGAGCTTGCCGCCCGTTTATCCCTTCGCGGGCATGGTGGGGATCCGCATAAACTCCGGAATTCTTTGAGACAGGACCGCACACCTCCTTTCTGGCATGGCGGTCATTCAAGACATTTCGGATGTTTGAGACCGGTGCGGGAGAGGCGCGACGTCGGCCCTCGGCCCTTGAGTGGGCGCTACGACAACCGAGGTGCCTGCCCTCGTCCTGGGGGTTCTCACTTTGGTGGCGATGGTGTTGCTCAGAATGCTAGCGGCTGTCTTCGGACCATGCCAGCTCTTCCTCCCTTTAGCTGGGAGGTCCTTCATTCCTTCATAGCAGGCTGACAGGTCAGCTGCTGCCAGACTTGGCCCATCGGGAGTCAGCTAGGCCAAGTGCTGAGGGCTCGACATGGTCATGTCGGCCATGGTGATCTAACACCCCGGCAGGGCGGTCGCCTCGGGAGGGACCTCCTGCTTGGGGGTAGGTTTGTTCCACATGTTGCATGAGGTACTCCAGGCGGTTGAGGATGGCCTAGAACTGTTCACTCGTAACCAGGTTCTGAGTGTTCCTGGCTCTTCGTACAATGGTGATCAAAGCTTAGGAGATTTCAAGTTTGTAGAGTTTCAAGGGATCGTCTTAGCAATGTTTCCCACACACGACACCAATTGTTGCTACTCAGATTGGTCGAGGGCAATAAGGTAAAAACACTCTTGAGATCTGAAGGCTAGTCGAAGGCTTTGAGGGATTCTGAGGAGGTGTGCCGAGGTCGAGAGCTGTGAAGTCCCTGGTAGTCTGAGGTTCTGCAAGACAGTAGATGTCAGAGGCCCCGGGTAAGAACCCGAGGTAGAGGATCTATTGGTCAAGTTAGTATGGGGGTTGAAGAGAGGGATCTGATGCAGACGAGGGCTCTAAAGAGGGTGCTCGTATGCACTAGGCTCACAAGAGGTAAGGTCCTTCACTTAAGTTTAGAGTTAGAGCTATTATTTAGGGATCCTTTACCTGGAGGGGGAGTACCCCGTATTTATACTTGAACTGCTTGGAGGTTGGTGGAGATGGATGCCCCCGATGAGCTCCATACAAGGGCAATTAGCGGGAGAAGCGGGGACGCTGGAGCGCTCCGCTATTGGCTCCAGATGAGGGGAGCAGGGTAGCCCCCGCCATGCTAGACTGGGACCCTGGCTGGCATCTGTGGGCTGGGCCCTCCAGCCCGTAATGGGCTGGGCCAGGTTACCCTACATCAAAAATAATTTTTGCTAAGTTTATTAACATTTTTTATGTGCTTTATTATGTTAATAAGTATTAATAATTTAAATTTTATTTTTTTTCAAAATTTTACTAATTTTAGAGTAAGTTAATAAAACTAAATTATGTAATTTATTTTAATTAATAAGTTAATCATGTAAAGTAAGTTGTTGGTTTTTAATTTTCCCTTATTTTTGTTTTTTTGTTACTTTCTGTTTTTTAATACTTTCTCCATAAATATTACTTTTAAAAAAGTTCTATCATTTTTAGTGAAATTTTCTCTTATTTTAGCAGTTAATTAAAAAATCAAGTTTCTAATTTTTTTTGTTATTTCAAAATTTTTAGAAAGTTTTCCTTATTTTATCATTTTTCCTAGCTATTAACAAAATTAATAATAATTTTCCCATTATCTTTCCTTACTTTTCCTGATTTTTCTGTTATTTTCTAATTAACAAAGTTGCTTTTAGTGAAAATTTCCTTTGTTTGCTCTTTTTGTTTTCAGAATTGCATAATCGGGTTGGGCCTATCAAAGCATATCAGTCCAATTCGGTATCGACTAGTAATTGAAGCTAGTGGGTGGATGGTTTTTGGGTAAAATAACCTTACCATGCTCTTTTTGTTTTGAAAATTGCCTAACCGGGTTGAACCATTCAAACCAAATTGGTCCTATTTGGTATAATTTGGTAATTGAAGTTAGTGGGTGGGATGATTCAAGTATTTAAATAACTCGACCCATGAACTTCATCTTCTTGATGCATAGCGATTTTTAAGCCCCTAGTTCATTTCTTCTTCCACTTTCTTCTTCTATTGGGAATTATATTTCTACGAAAATATAATCAAGTGAAATTAATATTTTAACAAAAGCATGTTAACTAATAATATACTTTTTGTTAAGTCTATTGATATATTTATTGTTTTTTATATTTTAATTTATTATTATTAATTTTAATTTTTTATAAATTTTATAAAATTAATTTACTAATTTTATAGTAAGTAATTAATATCACTAAGTTATTTAATTTATTTTAATTAATAAGTTAAACATGTATAGTAAGTTTTGCTAATTTTTAATTTTTCCTTATTTTTACTATTTTGTTACTTTCTAATTTTTAATATTTTCTCAATAAATATTATTTTTAATATGTTAAAAATTTCTGTTATTTTTAATGAAAATTTCTCTTATTTGATCAATTAAACAAAAAAATTAAGTTTCTATTGTTTTTTATTTTCTTATTTTTTTGGATAAATTCCTTTATGTTATTGTTCTCTTGTCTATTAACAAAATTGTTAATATTTTTTTCTTTATCTTCCCTTTTTTGACTTTTCTTGTTATTTTCTAATTAATAAAATTATCTTTTAGCAAAAAAATCCCTTATTTGCTATTTTTGTTTTTAAAACTGCATAACCAAGTCAAACCAATCAAACTGGATTAGTCCAGTTCAGTATGAATTGGTAATTGAAGCTAGCAGGTGGATGACCTGCGGGTATTCAAATAACCTGACCCTGCTCTTTTTATTAGGAAAATTGCATAGCTAGGTAGAACAGATCAAACCAAATTGGTCTAGTTTTGGTATGAACTGGTAAATGAAGCTAGTGGGTTGGATGGTTTTTGGGCATTTAAATAGCCTAACTGTTGTGGTCAGTAGTTTCTAAATGGAGTAAGTCTCTCAAGAACAATCGGTGGCAACAAAGCATTGCAACAGTCAGGGTTGGAGTAGTAGCGTAGCACTAGCCTCTTGGTTTTGCATCTCATTTAGGGAAGTGACCTTAGTATCTACTCACATAGGAGATGCTAAGGGTTTGGCCTTTGTAGCTTAGTAACAAGTCCAAAGCGAGGGAAGAAAGGAGATGAAACAAATTTCAGCAAAAGTATTCTTCAAAATTCAGCTTATATGATACAAACTTGGCCTACCTTATATATAATCCAAATAGAAAGAAATTACAATTTGACGCCTAAACACTGAAATGGACAAAGGGGTAATTAAAACAATCAGACACCTAGAAGCTCAAAAGGGAAACTGACAGCTTGGTCGAATCAATCACATGATTTGGCTATCAAGATTTGGTGGTTTCTTAGTGTGATCTTCATTTGTGGGTCGGTTTGGCAGTGGCCAGGGGCTAGGAGTCAACTTCACTACTCTAACAAAGACTAAGGTCATGCTCACAGGGAAGGGCCTAAACAATAAGCGAGGTGATCTCGCAAGGTTTTAGCATAGCAACCTCGTGAGGCTTCAGTGAGGTGGCCTTACGAGGTTTTAATAAGGTGAACTTGCAACACAACAGTGCTGTTCCAGATATAATTTAGCCCCATTCAGTGGGGGGTCAGTATACTTATTTCCTTCATGAAATGCTCTCTCAGACAAGGAAGATTATAACATCTGATTAGGATCTAAGATTGTTTTCGAGCATAGTTTCATGAGTGATTTCGTGAGTTTGTTAAGGGTAATAAAGGGTCCTAACTGTGAAACTCCTTGAGAATTTCGCCTTCACTTTTCTGTTTCTCTCTCATTTCCTATCAAACCAAACACAAGTTCCAGACTTCATTCCTTGGTTGTCAACTTGTTTTCATCTACCAATCTCTCTCCATGCCAATCAAACACAGTACAGAGAAGCTTTTGCCATCATCAATGTTTTGAGAGAAACCCCATGGGATGACTGAAGCATGATTCGTCCTTCTTGACAACATTAAGAACCTGCTTAGGTATTTTAGAAACAATACCTCTATTTCAATTTTACTCGTGCACTAATCTTGTTACATCTGGCTCTCCCATCGCTTAAAAGTTGAAAGGAAGAGACTACAATTACTGAATTACATGCTTGGAACAATTCTTTCAAGAACTAATTTTTACTTTAAAAGCTACCTTACTCCCTCAGAAATTTACTATTGGTTTTATCCTAGCCTAATTGTGGCTTAACATTTGGATACCAAGTACATTTGGAATTTATGTGGAAAACAAGATCTGGGTTTTCCTGTCCAAGAAGATAATAATATAATCGGACATTGTCAAATTTGTCATCTTATTTTGTCATTCAAAACGACTTCTCTCTCATATTTGTTTTTCTTGGATCAGTAATAAGAGATCTTATTGGAAGTGACAAAAAAAAAAGAAAAAAGAAAATACAAACAGCCAATCTCCAAAAGGGCAGAGAGGGGAGCCAAGGAGCCTTAATGAGGCAACCAATGGATATATAATTAATACATTAAAACAAAAGAGGAACTACCATGAAAGAAGACATCCCCCAATACAAAACACTCATTTATCCTTTTTTTTCTCTTTTTTGAAGCCCCAAAGCACTCATTTATCTCACTTATGCAATGCAGTCGGCTTGAGCTAGTATTTTTATAAAGTGCATTGGACCATCATACGTTTGTGGACTTTGGATCTTGTTCAACGATATCATGGAGTAATGATTCAGCACCTTTTGGTGGAGAGGGGCTTGAAAAAGGAATAATGCTTGGATTTGGTGATGTTGATATTGGGATACATGTAGAGGAATTGCTAGTTGCAAAGCTGCTGGTGATTTCACTAAATTGCCAATCGGTTAAGTAAGCAGGTCTACTTGTAACAGCACTCACTTCAGTCTTTCTTGAAAGCATGGCCACAACACGTGACATGGATGGACGAAGCGTTGGCGATGCCTGAGTGCACAAGAGAGCTACTCCTATAACTCGACGAGCTTCTTCTTCATCAAATTCATTCAATTTTGGATCAACCAGTTCCAAGTCGCAATTCTTTTCATGTAGATTCCATGCCTACAAGATTAAAGAAAATGGTTATGTTGAGAAGGGATCAAGTACCATATAAATTTTGCTGGCATACAACAATGATTAGTATATCATTTGCTAATTTTCATACCCATTCAAGAAGGTACAACTTCTCTTCATCTAAACTTGGGTCAGAATTTGGCCGCCCACTGAGGATCTCCAGAGCAACAACTCCAAATCCAAATACATCAGCCTTCTCTGTCAGATGCCCACGCAAGGCATACTCTGGTGCAAGATAGCCACTTCAAAGACATCAAACCAAGTCTGAGGTTATTTTTTATATATATTACAGAAAAATATAGAAAAGAAAGAAAAAAAAACAGTAGCATGGAAAGAATAATGCAATTGAATGATTAGAGGAGATCTACATTGTTCCTGCAACACGAGTGCTGAGGTGGGTCATGTTGTCTTCATACAACTTGGCCAAACCAAAATCCGATATCTTTGGGTTCAAATCAGCACCAAGAAGAATGTTACTTGCTTTGACATCCCTGTGTATAATTCTAGGTCTTGATTCCTCATGAAGATAAGCTAGACCTTTCGCCGTCCCCAAGCATATTTCATGGCGGGTCTTCCAATCTAGATATATAGCACACTTCCCTACAAAGTAGTGACAGCAGTTGGATAAACATGATTTTTCAAAGTATACCATGAGTCCACACAAAGAACTTTATTGAGATCATAGATGAGAAAGTACAGAGTTCTGCAACTGATTTATACCAAAGAGTGCTTGATCAAGGCTCTTGTTTACAAGATACTCATAAACTAGGAGTCTTTTATCTCCCTCAATACAGCATCCATACAAAGTCACAAGGTTGCGTTGTTGCACTGCAGATATTGTAGCAACCTCTGTTACAAACTGACTCTTTCCTTGGTGAGATACTGCTGAAAGTTGCTTCACAGCAACAACCCTCCCATCAGCAAGTGTTCCCTGGGAAATAGTACACAAGTCAGCAAAAGGAACATGTATAATTGCTAAGTACATATCTATGGAAAGCAATGTAAATAATATCTGGTGAAGAAAGATATCTAAGAAAATTGTTGGATTGAAGTCTCTTTATGTACGAGTGTTCGGCTGATAAGAGTTCTTATTAGCCTATACTTAAGTTTAAATTATCCTGTACTGGGCCTGTGTTAATGGGCCCAAGTCTGTTTAATGTTTTAAGTTGTCTGGGTGTCCCATCACTAATCAGGGGCATTCCAGTAATTCCWTGTATCATTGTACTACATTCTAATATAAATAACAGTATTGTCGACTGAGCTATTTAGTTCGACATTCACAGCATTTCAGAGGTCTTCTTCTCTTCTCTACTACTTCGAATACAGCTCCTAAGCTCACAAAAATTATAAAGCAAGAAACGAGAAAGAAGACTAAATATATGAAGAATAACCAAGCACCTGTTACGAATGGTGTGAGAATGAAGGTGATCTTGTCTTCATAATTACTTTTCATGATGAGGGGTAATAGAAGTCATTTTATCTATGTTTAATTGACTCATATTTAAGCTCATTAGGGATGTCAGCGGGTCAGGTTAAAGTGGCCAACTTGTTGACATTGCAATATTGAAACATTTGTATAACTAATCAATTATCGGTGTATTATATGTGTAATGGGTCGGAGTAGGTTCAATTTTTCATCCTTGTTCAACCAAGTTGGGTTAAGGTCAAAGTTACTTTGGGTTGGCTAGTTTATTTTAGGTTGGGTTCGTGTTGAGTCAGACCTGTACCAAGCCCAACCAATTGACATCCCTAAAGCTAACGAAGTGGATATTCTTTTCTTTTTCTTTTTCCGTTTGTAAGCTAGGAATATATTTCTTTTTCTTTTTCTTTTTCTTTTTCTTTTTTCCTTTGGTAAACTGGGAATATATTTCTTTTTCTTTTTTCTACTGTTTACATTTTTTTTTCTTTTTTTTCTCTTTTATCATCAAAGACAACAAATCATGAAGCATTGCTGTTTACATTTTTCCTCATACATTTCAAACTTCATACAAAATATATGATCCTAAGATAAGTATGGCATATGCATTTTCCCGTAAACCACTTCCCTCCCAACCCTCCCCACTTGGTTCTCCTCCCCCATGGGGCCCCCTCATGGCCCCATCCATGTCTATCCCCCTCCCCCCTGAAAAAAAAAAGAGAGAAAAGCTCCACCTCTGCCAACCCTGGTGAAGGTTAGGCTTGTTCCAAGGTCTCCGTTATAACCAGCTTGAGACTTTAATAGAGAGCCAGCTATAACCAAACACATGCATTGTATTTATGGGCATACATGTGGCAAGGAAAGGTAGCCTGATCTGGTAAGGTTCTGGTCTGGATGACACTACCTTTTTCTGCCACATGGAGGGATGATATTTCTGATCAAAACTATCACCAGATAGGGGACTCTCTGGATTGGTCATGTGTCCCCCCGCCCCCCGATTCCATGTTGGACCTTACAGCGCACACAACCTCTGTATTGGAGCTTTCCCCCAAGTAATATCAGTCCTATAAGAAAGGTGTAATTTGGAGATGTGGAAATTGGCTTTTAGGCTGAAATTTTCCTCATAAATAGAGAGGATGGTGAGTTCAGCATTTTCGACCCTTTTTGGACCCCAACCATTCTATCACATGGAAGATTCCTAGTTTTCTTAGAATTCTCCAAATTACCTAGTACCAAATCCTTGGCTAGAATCAGTGAGCTGGATGATGAGGGAATTAGTGAATTATCAGCGGAAGAAAGGTTTCAGAGGGAGACTGCAAGAGATGAATATACGAGACTAAGCCAATATAGAGGAAATCTCATGCTGTCAAAAGTCAAGGATTCAATGGCTCAACAAAGGTGGCAGCCTTCTTTCATAAGATTGCAAATGCAAAAAGGAGATGTAATATCATTTCCAGATTTCAGGTCGGGGAGCATCATTATTAGGATAAAAGGGAGGTATGTTGTTGGGCCATCATGGACTTCTAAAAGAACTATGCCCATGATATAACTAGAGCAAAGCTAGAAGGATGGCTTTCAACTGAATATCAGATAAAGACAAGAGACATCTTGGAGAAAAGTTTTGAGGTAGTGATATAGGATGGGTAAGGGTCCCACTAATTTAGGATATGGTGGCGGGCTGTGGGGGTGATTAGAGATGAAAAATATGAAGGGAAAAGAAAATAGGGTTCTTGTTGTGCACCAAAGAATGAGTACGAAATTAGAAGAAAGAGGTGAGCTCTTGCTGTTAGGGAGAACAGCAAAGAGAGATCACTTACAAGAAGAAATAGAGAGAGAAAGAAAGAGGGGGAAAGAAAAAAAAAACTTCCGGCAACAAGCAGAATTCACTAAACCAATCTTTATTTCATTAAATCACTCTTCTTGAATCCAATTACAATGACTATTTATTCAATTTGTTAACTCAGATTTCCCCTTTCAGACTCCAATTTGGGTTACGAAATTGACCCAAGATAACTCCTAAATGCTTTAGAACTAAGACAAATCCATAACTAACCCATTAGGACACTTAAATAAGGACTCCAACTCCTAAACAACATTTTCCTAATCCAACTACAAAGAGTAGTTGTGAGAATTACTATAAATAGTATGTCTTTCAAGATAACAAAATCTAAGTAGACCCCACTTTTAGTTTTCACCAATTCTTCTGTAAATTTCCTTCTAGATGAGAATGAGGCCAAAAGCCTTATTCAAACAATTTCTTCCTTTTCCTCAAATCTGTTAACTTCTTTTTGGGTCTCCAAAGAGGCTCAAACTCTAACCAAGTGCATGCTGCTGCATCAAGTAGAGGTATTACAAGCCTATAAACATCTAAAATGGAACAAATCCCCAAGTCCATATTGGTTCCTGGTGGCCTTTTATAGAAAGTGCCAGAAGTTCCTAAAGAATAACTTCATGAAGGTTCTATAGGAGTTCCATGATAATGCTGAAATTGCAATGCAGCCAATTCCACCATCTCACTAGCTCCAAAGCTTCAGGGAGTTGTTGAATTAAGGGACTACAGGTCCATTAGTGTGATTGGTTCTATAAACTAATCACCAAAGTTTTGGCCAATCAGCTTAGGAAGGACTACAGGTCCTAAAATCATCTCTCCACCGCAAGGGGATTCGTAGAGGAAAATCATTTCCTGGATGGTTTACTAATAACAAACATACTCATTGGTTGAAGAAGAAAACAAAGTGAGCCTGGGGTGATTGGTAAATTGGACATGGAGAAGGTGTATGACCATATCCAAAGGAATTTCCTAGACTAGTTGCATAAACTGGGTTTCATTATCAGATGGAGGAGCTGGATTGTTGTGTCTCTCTACAGATAGATTCTCAATCTTAGTATATAGAACCCCTTTGGATTCTTTTGAGGGGGGAGAGGTCTATGGCAGGGAGGTCCTCTCTCACCCTTTTTTTATTATTGTCACAGAAGCTCCAAGTAGGCTGACCAATAGGACGGTTGAGGTGATAACATTCAACGATCTAAAATTTAGAATGATAGCAATGTCATTGTCCTCCTTTAATTTCTGACTTAATCTTCTTCTCCCATTCTAGGTGTTCCAATATTCTATTTATGAGATGCCTACCGATATGATTTGAAGCAGTTTTGGGAATAAACATTCAAAAAAATGAACTGTTTGAAGTTGAGGATGTTCCAAAAATTGATGAATTGGCAGCAAACTTTAGGATGTAAAAGCACACTTACATCCAAGTATCTAAAATTTTCGGTCTCCCTTTAGGAGCCAAATACAAGGCCAAATAACTATGAGAGCCAGTGATTGAAAGAGTAAGAAGAAAGTTAGCAGGATGGAAAAGAGGCTAGTTGTCAAAAGGTGGTAAACTGGCTTTGATTCAAACTGCAGTATTGAATTTGACCATTTATTTTTCATCTATCTTTTGAGCCCCTACCTCAGTTATTCAATCACTGTAAAAGATAAGGAGGGACTTCCTATTGGATGGCCTGAATGAGGAGAAGAAGCTGCATTTTATATCTTGTTAATCTGCCTTCCCCAAAACAAGGGCGGACTGAACATAAGATCTCTAAGCTTCATGGATAGAGTACTTTTAAGAAAAGGGCTATGGAGATAATGGAAATGATAAAGAGATCTTTGGAGGAATCTAATTCATAAGTATGGTGATAGTGGCTTTGGTTGGGAAGTGCCCCCACCCAAAGCTCATATGGCTTGAGTTTTTGGACAGGAATTATGAAAATCAGAATGAATTCTTACAGGTCATAGGAAGTCCCTCTTTCAATATTGAGTCAAGGAGACTGTGTGAAATTTTGGCCTGATGTTTGGTGTGGTTAGGGATCCTTATCCCAAGTCTACCCTCAAATTTTTGTTACAACTATGGATAGAAATGCCTCAATCAAGGATTATTATGAAGTGACGGATGACTAAGTTGTTTAAGCAACAAAACTCAGAAGAAGTCTACATGACTGGGAGATAGATGAACTTTTGGTCTTCATGGAGGAACTGAACCTAGAGATGCCTCAAGTACAGTCACAGAATAGAGGAAAGAGGAATGCTGAACAGTCAGGGATATTCACAGTCAAGCCATTTAACAAGGTGTTGTTGGCTCATCAGGGAGATGATGTACCTTGGATATGGTGTCCAAGAGAATTGTGTTGGATAATTGTTGCTATCTTTGTAGACTAATGGAAGAGTCTGCACCATCTTTTGATCCACTGCAAGGAGTCTTACAGCATTTGGACTTATTTCTTAAGATTATTTGGGTGCATATGGGCCACTCTGAAAGGACCTGGAATCATTGTTCTCTTCCTGGTTGCCTGGTCCTTGCAAGGCTTAAGTAAAAGGAGTAGGGCCTTGGGGCAGTTGACACCTGAAGATGTCTGTTGGACATTATGGTTGGAATGCAATAGCAGAATATTTGAAGGAAGATGGAAATGTGCTGATAGCCAAGATGGAAATGCTAATTATATGTTATGTTTGTGCCATGAATTCTTTGTGGCAAGCCGCTTCATGAATCTGCTCCGAATTAATTTGAGAAACACCCGAAGGCAAAATTTCATGGTGGTTTGTGGTGGAAGCGTAGGGCTTGGGCTGCTAAACCTATAAAAGGAGTTATGTATTTCGGGGGTTTTCTCTCTTATATACTTAGTTTTTGTCTTGTGAGAGAAGAGTGAGACCTTGGGTGTATTTGGGGTTTAGGGTTTTCTGTGAGTAAGGTTGTGAGTGCACAACTCTGTATTCCTTATCCATTGCTGACTATATAGTAGATTTCTGCTCCTCCTTCACCCATGGATGTAGGCTATAAGCCAAACCACATAAATTTGTGTGTTCTCTTTGCTTGCTTCTTTTTATCTCTGTTTTTTCTTTCATTTTGGGTGCCATTTGAATCTGTTTTTCTTGGGTTTTCCGCAACATTATATTTTACGCTTGCAATTGCAAAGAGTTTTTTGGAGTTTCCTGTCATCATTTCAGCAACCATGGGGACAAGGATTTTGTAGTATTATATCTTTTTGTATCGCTCGACACAACCCATATTAAGTTAGAATTATAGATTTTGTGATTATCTTCTTGAGGGATCCTCTCCCTCTTAAAATATAGTTTGTTTACTTATCAAAAAGAAAAAGAAAAAACAAACAAAACATGCAAGTACCAAATCCATTCCCATACACATGCACAGACCCATGCAATACATATTCATAGACATACATATTGATACAAACACTATTTTCTATCACCAGCATTTTTCCTATATCAACTATTCATAGATTTAATACATATAGACAAAATTACTTGTCCTGATCCACTATAAGAAATAAGACCAATGTGTCCATTGGTGAAGCTTTTCAGTCCTAACTAACCATTTTTTTTATCTTAAGTATGAGCAAATAAGTCTTTTGATCATGATGTTAAATTATCACACAGTTTGTCAGTTCATTATATCTTACCTTGTAAACAGGTCCAAATCCTCCCTCTCCTAGCTTGTTTTTAGGATCAAAGTCTTCTGTAGCACTTCGCACATCAGCATAACTGAAAATAGTAGCCTTGGAACCTATTGCTTGAATCTCTGCAAATATTTATTGAAGTTCAAAATTCTACCACGAATTTTCTTGAAGGTATTTATATCATTTTTCTCTAATACCACCAATTTATTTTTACCAACAGCAAGCAAAATTTGATGAACCCAAATAAATGGTCTCTAGGATAAGGTCCCTGTTTTAGAGTGCAACCTTCCAAACTTAAACCAAATGAGAATATTTACACCAAGTTGTGAATCAGAAAATGGATATAATCTGATTTAAATGTGACTAGTCAGTTAGATTTAGATGAACCTTTAAATTTTTCTTGGATAAGACACCCAACTAGGACTAAGAAAAGACTAACAAGACCCATATATTACCAATACTGAAATTAACATTACCTTCATCATTATTGGTGTTTAACCTCTTCTTTCTCAAGAAAAAGATCGTGAAAGCTAACATTGAGCTTGCAATTACAGCAGCAACTGTAATACCAGCAATCAAGCCAGTCTTTTTCTTCTTTGTTGTAGTTGTTGGTGGAAGGCCACTTACAGTTGGTACGAAATCTAACAAAAAAATTGTGAACAATAATTAGAACAATTGCACTTTAATGCATATAGGTAGACATTTTAAATCAAAGTTCAGCTGTTAATTTGTGATATATTACCAGAAGTAACACTGATGGCTGAAATTAGTGATCCATAATAACCATTTAGAGGTATAGCACAAGTACCCTTTCCAGCCCAAAAAAGATGGATTTCAAGGTAATTCTCTGATACATTAGCCTTCAAATCCTTCTCAACTGCTCTATAGGCCCCACCTGCCTCTTTTCGTATGTCAAAGTCTTTTACTTCCAGTTTTCCCTGGAGAATTGATAAATGAAGGCTTAACATGGAATATTTGGTTCTACATTAGTAAAACTGCCATATCAGGAGCATAGTTGTTAAGGCATTGCCTATGTACCAAAGTAGGCAAGGCAAGTGATAAGGTCTCCACGGAGGTTACGTTATGATGCCATAAACTTAAATAGGCACCTAGTTAGTGACTTAGTGTACTAGGTGCCAAGGCATCAAAAAATCTATGCAGGCAACATGTATTGTTGATGTATATAATGTTATTGTAGGTCTTGATACATGTAATTATATGTATATATACTTAGCAATTATTGTATAGCAATGAATGAGGGTATTAAAGCAATAGAGTAGTAGAAAGATGGGAGATTGATTGCTGAAAAGGAGAAATGTATTCTATTTCCTGCATTCCACGGAACATAACACTTGTTTTAAACTCAGACAATAAGTTTTAATTCTAGAAAAACTTAAACTTTTAACAGTGATTATTTTAACTATTTACATGAGTAAAGCTAATTCAATATTTGTTGGAGATAAAAATTTTGATTGAGCTTCAAAACATGGTCTAATGCAGCAAAAGATAACTGGTGATTTTAGTCATTCCAGGTAAAGGGACATTGTTGAGCTAGTTGTTATGTCAATATTCTTAAATGCTACGTTCAATTTACTGGGAACTTCTGGGCAGGAATAATCTTAAATATTCTTAGTTATTAGGAAATATATCTATTCCATTACGCATACCTGTATATAAATATCAAAACTACGAGTTCCAAGACTCTGCCAAGTGCGTAAGCTTTCATTGTCAAATCCAGTCTCTGCAAATTGTAGGTTTATATTGTAGACTCCATTCTCCAAGCCTAGGCCATAGTATCTCAGTGATCCTGGAGATATCCTTGCAGTTTGGAAGAATTGAGAGCTCAAATTTCCTGCATTTGCAATTTGTGCTGAAGTATTTTGTATATAAACATCTCCCCCCTGCCTGTCATGAAACAGCCCGACATTGCTAACTGCCCACTTGTTTGTATCAGTTACATAATATGATGCTGGACTAAGAGTTTTATTTTCTCTCTCAAATACTACACCAGTTGGAGATGTCATTTCTGGACCACCACACTTGATTGAAAAGTTGGCATCTGTAAAACCAGTAAATTTGATGTAAATTTTGTATATCCATATTCAGATAGTATATATTCTCAATATAGTCCTTTATAAATGGGCTTCAGAAACCCTTTTCTGCTTCTTATTGTATTATATTTTTACTAAACAAATAAAAAATAAGGCAGCTATAATGCTTCCACCTTAGTGCACTTAAACATGAATGTTGTGGTTTTCTATAATCTGTCACTGAAGAAAGTATTTCTTTTTTCTTTGTACTAAAGATTAAAAGATCAAAACAATTTCCATGACAGCTTCATTTCAAACTATGATGAATCCTCAAACTCACACAACCATCACTTTGTAGGGCAAAATGAGACGAGTTGAGTCCTGTAGCAAGTAATGCTAGACAAGGTTTTTATGTATACCCCTAGATTAGATTTGATGTATCTCTATGCATGAAGTACAATGATCATAATTTCCAATTACCAAATTGAGGTATCAATTAATGTACATTTACTTTTTTAATCATAAACTTACAATGAACCTTGAAGCTTGTACTAAAATCAGGATGGTACCATCATGGATGGCTGAAATGAAGAAATAGAGAATGAATTCTATTGGCCTAGTATTCTTAGTTGCAAAAAAAATGAAAAAGAAAAGATCTCTATTGATTATGATGGTGGTAGACCACTTTAGTACATCCATTATTTTATAATTGATAATCTCACTGAAGCCCAGAGAATGTTCATACTATGTCTTATTTTCCATTTTTTTATCAGTCATCTCGTATTCTCATTTCTCCATGACCCATGAGTTTCTTGAGTTTGGATGATAACTTTTCCTACTAGAAAGGCACCTACTGCATTCGTTCTACAAGAACTATCATAAAGAGAATAGGAGGATGTTTAACAGAAACTATCTCCTTCTGCAAATACCTAACTATACTCCCTTGAGAAAATAAATAATGGATCAGAAAGATTCCCCAAATAGAATTATATCTAGATATTATTATTTTCTTTTACTGAAGCAGAACTCTGTTCATCTAGTTTATCATTATCCTCTCTCCCTGGCCATGAAAGCTTGTAGCATAGGTGAAAACCTTATCTTCAGCTAATTAAAATTTTTCTTACATTTATTATCAGTGAAAAAACAAATTTGATTGGTCAAGAGATGTGCATGTATAAGAGAAATACAAACCATGGTATATGGGCACATCCTCAGTCTCTTCTAAGAAGACCACCCTAGTTCTAAAACCAATATAAAATACATCAAGCTATCAAGTTATCAGTCCATATAGATCAGTAGTCCCCAGATGCAACTCTGCTCTTTCCTACCCCTGATTTGACTAAGCTATCAGCTAATACATTTTCATATCACCTGATCTAAGTAAATGGGATCTTCACTCTAGAAGCAAGAGCTCTAGCTCCTCTGGTTTGATGCCACGTTTGCCAATAGCTCTGTTAGCTAATGTATCTTGTATCACCTTTAATCCAGCTAATAATCATCTGCAAATCTTCTTACACTTTCATCTTTTGTAAACCCAACAAGTACATATTTTAGTTCCTGTACTATAGCTAAAACCTACAACCTAATAGCAGTCCCATGACCAACCAGACCAGAATATACATAGAGAATGCCACCAGTAGAATCCTATGTTGTTACCCACATACAGCAAGGACACAGATGGATATGGTATGAAATACAAAATTTACACTAAAAATTGAAGCACCATCACAGTACAGAACCCTTGTACAGGACCTACAGGTATCTAGGTACCATCCCATAATTCCTCAGATTGAGATGGATTCACCTTTGAAAATTCATAACAGACTGTCACCTTTTATCTCGATTTCTACAACATAATCAGTATAATTTGAAAAAGGATTATTAGGTGGATTAGAACTACGGTCCACTATGATACTAATCAACTCACCGTCTTTTTCCTTCTGCACCAATTCAATTTCTTCCTTTATCTTACCAATGGTTTCATTAAGACAACAGAATAGTTTTTATTAGGATAAACAAGATTCTCTTCACCAATTTAATTTCTTCTTTCCTTATCATATCCATGTTACCTTCTTATTTGATAAGTCATTTTTATAAGGACAGAAAGATTTTCTTCACCAAACACAATGTTGGCATGCTGATGTTATTTATTATCACATGGTTCGTTACAAGTAAATATACCACCATTGTTTGCAAGACCTGCAACAGGAAGGAGGGTTTTAATGAATGCTGGGTTGTTAGCATCCTCACCATCCAATATGAATCATATTCTGTCAGGGTGAGAACTTGTGAAATGCAATTCAGCACGAACTCTAGCCATGCTAACTCATGTCGTTGCCCAAGTAGGGCTGTCAAGCTTTTACACCTTCCTGATAGATCTGATTATCAGATCCAAATAAAATGAGGTAGAACACAGTATGGCAAAGTGCCAAGAACCCCAGATGTGTAATTGGTGATTCATACTGGGATCAAAGTCAGTGTCCATTAAATGGAGATTGAAATTCTTCCCTTGATCTGGTACTCCCCTGGTCCAACTCCAAGCCCTGGTAGAAGTTTCTACACTCCTTTTTCACATCCTCCATAAGGAAACACCTAATTACCCTTAAAAAATAGATTCCAGTAATATTAGGAATGAAGGTTAAAAAAGAGACTTCAAATCAGCTTTAACTTCATCAGGATAGGAAACTTTTGATCCTAGGATCAGTTTCCCAATAGCATTCGTATCATAATCAATAAAAAGCACAATTGAACCATGAAAATGAAAAAAAAAAGAAGGAAAAAGAATCAGAAACACCAGAGTGAAAGCAGACCCTAGATCTATGTCTCCTGGTCCTCAATTTATTAGCTTATGAAAACCATCATTATGCAAAACATTTACAAAGACTAGATGTGACTTTTTCTTTTGAAAATATATATAAGACTAGATGTGACTTTATAAGAAGGCTACACAAATAATGGATCTATTGTATTTCCAAGTGCTAATTTCTGAAGAGACTTTTGAGTCTAATCATATCCAAGGAAAACATCAATTATACTAAATAGTTTGATATGTAATAGTCCTGTTGGATACAGAATCTATTCATATGCCAGTTCATTTATTGCCTTTATGATGATAGGCTATAAATTCCATTCAGACTAAATTCTCTCTCTATTACAACAAAGTAATGGTGAATTTACCCAAAAATGGTTAGCATTTTTTCTCTTTCCCTTTTATTGTTTCTTAAGCACTATTTATAATTTTGTCTGTACTTCTTTTAAGTATCTGTCATCTTGAAGTTGTTGATGTAAAAAGCTTATCAAGTTAAATAATATTAACGGAAGAGGAACTCCTATACAACATGTGACAGAGAGAAGAATGTTACTTACAACGTGGAAATCCCTTATTGCATGGAAAATTTTTCTGAAGGCAATTTAACCCTGGGAATATACTGCACTCAAAATCATAATGTTCCTAGAGTCAATAATATAATGCATGCTGTGTACACAAACTAGAAGATTAAGCACAAAATGGATAGGAATTTAGATGGTTCAAGAACATTTATTTCACCTTATATTTGTTTTATCGAATATGAAGTTGTTGGCTACCAGATTCCTGCAAATTTTACATCACAAAGATCTTATAGTCGATCATGAGCATCACCAATACTCTCAGAAAGTACTGATAAATATACAGAAAATCTACTTCTGTATGATTACCATAAAAGGTTTACTAACTGAACTAAATTCAACCACAGCACTTGTTATTGACACAATGATCATTGTTGGAAGTTTTGAAAGCTAAATAACAATAAGAGGCTAGTATATACCATCATGGGCTAAAGTAAGTTGTAATGGATTATATAATCCTATAGATTTTTCATTAGAAAGTACAAATAAGTTATTAAATAGGATCCTAAGCCCCTTAAAACATATAATAGAACTATAAAAGGAAGAAAGCGGTCCAACAAATGTTCAAATGACACGCAGCTAAACTCAACATTAGATCATGTAGTTCAAGTTCATCAAGTACATCACAACCTTCATCATAGTCAATATATAGAGGATACACATGTAATCTGCCATCACAACCATCAACAACTTATGATAGATTTAGTTCAACCCAGAAAACATCAGCCAACTGATTCCAGTAGCAAAAAACAAAGTCCAGATTTCCTACCCACATAACATCGCAGCCACAAATGGGGAACATCTCATCCTCTTACATGTTATTATGCAGGGGGAGATGTTCCCAATGCACGGAGGTGGTGTTTTGTGGGTAGGTGTGGATAGAGCTCTTGTGAGCAGGAGATCCGGAGTCCAAAAAACAAATAAATAGAGGTTCAGCAATGGAAAATGCCAAATATGAACCCTAAGAAAAATCACAAGATATTCACCACGTGATAGAAAAATATAAGATCCAAACCATCATACTTCCCAACAATTTTGCACCCACCAAAACAAGTAAGAAACAACACCAGAAACATACCCAATTGAGAGAATAAGTCTGAAATTCCAAATCCCAATCTTTTGTATATTCCACAAAAAAAAAACGGAAAAATACCTAACATACGTTATCTACATGAATCTAACACGAAAATAAATCCCTAAATTTTAATCTTCTTCCAAAATATATGTGTTTAAAAGTCTGGGCTAGCATCTCTACAGTTGTCAACATCATCTGTACTGATGATAATGTCAGCATCCTCCCTGTTTGCTCAGTCTGTAAAAAATATTCCCCTATCTGTTCTGGTACCAATTAGAAATAACTAAGATTTAAAAGAGAATCTTAAAGTGTAAGAGACAAGAAGAATAAAATAGGAAAGGGAAAAGAAATTTTCTGAATCAATGTATATCTCACACCCACTCTATCAGTGTTATTTATATGGAAGTTGCAACATGAAGTAAAAGGATAGTACTGCCCCTGGTTACAAATATCACACCTTGCTATGGTCTCTATTAGGAGTCATTATTCTAATCGTATCTTAATTATGCTTCAAATTTCATAGCCATTCATTGAGTTTTAGCAAAGTTCTCAAATTATGACAAAGTAGCAGTTTTCCCTCTCATCCACATGGTGTTAACCATTGTTTAGAAGGGACTCTCAAAGTTGCCATGTAACCGATGGCTCCCATGCCCCACCATTCATATATCTCCAAGCCCTCATATCTCTCTCCAAACAAACACCTAATCAACACTTAATATATTTAAGCTCTCACTAAGAGATCACTTTACTTGCCTAATCAAATTCCACTTACTATGTCTGAATATATAGTTCTTTCTTACAAATTTTATTCCCAAACATACAAAATGTCAAGGACAAGGAAAGAAAGAAACAGTAACTCCTTTTACTAGAGATATGAATTTAATTTCTCTCTCTCTCTCTCTAACAATCTCCTATCCCCTGTTTCCAGCTATCTAAAAGATGAATGAATCATCAATACTATACCAGCCTCAATAGTTTGGGAATTTCCTATCTGCAGCAAAGGAACCTCCCAAGGCACCTCCAATAGCCACAAAGAGAGGCAAGCACCAAAGGCAAAGGGTAACACTAGATAACCCACCAGTAAAAGGAGCTGCATGATTCGTGAAGACTGATTAAGCACCTCTGGAGAAGAATAAATCATCTTCCCTATTCTTCTTCTCCAAGTATACTAGATGTACAATCTACTTACCACAGAAAGGTCTCCATCTTTCTAAATGTATCCTTTTTAAGCTGTTTTAAGTTACAAACAGGAATCTTAATGGGCTGGCCCAAACCTGTTATTCATTTACAAATAGATTGAACTTCAGGAGTTTAATTAACGAATTCAAGTAGATTTTTATTGGATATTTCTCATAATAGGGCACTCTGTTAAAGAAAAACGATATTTATTTATGGTATAGTAACATAAATGTTTGCTAGAACTTGCACTCTTTTCACATTTATTGGGTTAGAAAGATACATTTATTCTCTTGATGCTAATCTGATGTTCTAATACCATAAACATGCATCCTATATTTATCTCCATAAATAGCCTTCCATTCTTGGAAATAACCTCTGTGTGTATTTGCAAGGGTAATGCTACATACAACTGTTCCTCCCCAGACCCCACATTGGTGGAAGCCTTGTGCACTGGGCTCTCCTTACATAGCCCTCCATTCCGACACTATTGATCAATTATCTAGCATGTGTTGTTCCCTACTTTGTCCCCCTTTTGTAATTTGTTTCCTAATAGTTCACTATCACTATCAGTCCCCTCAAGTCCTTATTTCGACAATGATAATCTTTAACTCAAAAAAAAAAAGAAGCCTGTCCTACACTATTGCATCAGTGGTATCTAGACAATCTAACTAATGCTAAAACTTTTTGGCACCTATACATGGTCACAATATCCTGACCTTATATATCAGAAGATGAGGTTATATGCTATTCATACAGAGAAAGAAGATAGAGTAGCAACTAGTTCTATTGAGCAGTTTGTTAAAACAAAAAAATGCTAACATTGAAAAGAAATTCTTGCATTTGTCAAACATACACTTGTACATCTGGTTTAACCCATGAAGGAAAGCTTCCATGAAGTTCGTTGTATGACAAGTCTCTGTATACAAAACATATTAGTAATAATTAGTATAAACTTTAAGCTGAGAGAGAGAGAACTGAAAATCTAGTGCTGCACATGCTGGAAAACCTGTTCCACTATTCAATGGTTTCTAATAAGGCGATCTTCTAGCCAGAATACTATAACAGTCTAGTGATCCTAATATTTTGATTTATACAAGTGTTCATTAGGAATGACAATATTTAGATCTAAAGATTATCTGATCGTGCTAATTTCAGCCAAAAAGTTAATTACTTCAATTAAATAGAAACTAGTGATTAGGACATACACGTATAGAAGGCTTTGACTTTTTTGAGAAGGAATGGTACCAGATAAGCTATTGTTCCCAAGAAACCTGTTCATCACAATGATCAAACAGAAGTGAAGGGAAATATAATGATCTTTATTGGTAGGTCAGGAACAACAATATGTTACTTACAAATGAGAGAGAGACCCCAAATTGAATAGAGAGCTTGGAATTTCACCAGTTAAATTGTTGAAGCTTAAATCTCTACAAAGATCCATCAAGAAATGGAAATTAGAACAAGATTTTCCAATTTCTTTCATCATTCATGTTATCATTATCTTCTTTTTGTGTGACTACGATAACTACAATGAGATTGTCATTTGAGAAAATACATCTATAAGAATTTCTGAAAATGTATAACATACAATATTTGCAACTTTTGGTAATCCCCAATATTAGATGGAATGGTACCGGAAATCATATTGTTACTCAAAACCCTGTATGAAAGAATGGTTAATGTAAGTAAATGAGGTAGTGAACATGAATACAAATGGGCATTTATACATATCGGCATTACTAGTTGGATTAGGAAAATCACTTACAATCTGGTTAAATCCTTCATATCTTTAATGAAATCCAGTGTTGAACTAACATTAGACAGGTCACTTATTCTCCTATATAATAATGTGCAATGGTAAGTGAAACATAAAATTGATGAGATGACATCAAATCTTGAAATGATTAAAAATAAGGAACTTACAGATCTGTTAACGAAATCAAATTAGAAAAACTGTTTGGTATTGGACCTTCAAAAGAGTTACCATATAATCTCCTACATAAAACATTAAGTGCTTTACGAAGGGATGATGATGATGATGATGATGATGATAACAACAACAACAATAAAAAGTAAATAAATAGAGGACTCTATTGCAATAATGTATAATTCAATGAACAAAAATTTTAGCTTACAAATCTGTAAGTTTTGTCCAGTTCCCAATGAAGTCAGGTATCTTCCCTGTAAATGGATTATCATTCGCCCAACTGACATCCAAAAATAATTTTTACAGAAAAATGAGGTTGATATTTTTTTTAAACATTAGAAGAAACAAATCTTAAAAACTAGATAGAGCTAGTTATCTTCACAAAGCCTTACAAAGTTAGCATGTTTACTAGGTTCTGAAATGTTGAAGGAATCTCGCCACCCACTCCAGCACTGGCCATGTAACTGTCAAATTGGACAAGAAAAATATGTAATCAGGACTGCCCTACAACGTTTCTCTCTATTGTGTTTCTTTTAATTTATTTTTGATTTATTTGGTTGAAATGAAACTGAATCTACAACATGTGGAATTCCAAATTGCTTAATGCAGAACTAGAGGCTTAAAATCAAATATTTTCAGAAGTCTGATAAATTACAAAATCAAAACCAAAAGAAAGAAAAGATTAGGAAACTTTTGGAATTGTACTCTCCCCCACCTTTCAAAAGTCCAAATTTCTAATTCAGTAACCAAAGCACAACCTTATCTCATTTTTCTACTTAATCCTTTCATTTGCATATTAAATTAAAGTAGATTTTCTGATGGGTGCATATTGAATTAAAGTTCAGTCTGAAGCTTTGAAGAGGGCAATGCATATTAAAGTTTCAAGATGGATAATATGCTTGTAGATAGTGTTAGACTGTCCTAATGTCAAGTGTACAAGGTATGAAAATAGCCAAGACTGAGCCCAAACAAGTAATTTCCACTCAATATCACCATCGTTACTTTTCATGGAGGCATTTATGCCAATCTTATAGTCATTATATTTAATTGCACAATATCATTATTAAATCTAGTGAAAATCCGAATTCATGTGATCTGGACCTCAAGCCTGTAAGTTTTCTCAAGCGAGATATGAAAAGCTAGACGCAGTTCATTGAAAACCATACTGTTGCAGTTAGGACTTACATTTGCTCAAGTTTAGGTATATTCCCAAGATGCGAAGGGAGTGGTCCAGAGAAATTGTTTGAACCAAAAGATCTGCAGGAAACAAATCAGAAAACAAACATCTGATTAACAAGTAAATCTCAAGGTGCTATAATCAATTTGCTCTTCTTACCATAAAATAATGAACACGAACAATTACTAGAATTCATTTTCATAGTTTCGTGCATATTGTCAATAAACTAAAATTTCTACTTTTTGCAATTAGGATCATTCCATTTATAGCTCACCTATGAGCGAAACAATTGATAGAAGCTATGATACTCAGATACTTGTACAAAGAGTACTATATTGTATCAGATAAATAAACTTTTTTTGTAAATTTCATTATCGACACCTTATCCAGCCATGCCCTTGCCATGTCGTGGTAACATAGAACATTTTTTATCCCCAAACATTCTGCATTGGAGGGGAGACCACCTTGGGCATACGCAGAAGCTTTCAATCTTGAACAAGCTCTGAGGCACATCTCTGGTAATGGTCAGAGATTCTGAAGCAGGGTTGCTATTCACTTCTCTGTCTTCCTAAGCCATAGTTGGAGGTAAGCCACTTAAAAGGATTTTCTCTGCTGTTCAAAGGGAAATCTGATGAGGTAAACAAGGTGTAAAAGGGGATTAATTTGGATATGATGATCACAAAACATTTGCTGGTGGTCAATAAAAACCTTGTTCTTTTCCTTTGTGTGATGAGACGCTTCTGCTCTAGATTTTTAAGAGAATTAAAAGAATGGCGTAGGATTTAAAAGGAAGCAAGGCAAGAATATATAGGGTTGAGGGTATGGGTCTGCATTACATGCAGCGATTATATTTGGGTTGGCATCGGTTTCGGTTGTGCTGAACTTATTAAGAAGTAGAACTGAACCTAATTCTGCAAATAGATAGAATTTAATCCAAAATTTGAATTCGAGTATGATTCATTTAGTCGGGATTCAGATAAACTCATGCCGTTTAGTCATAATCGGATTGAAATGTAAACATATAATGTACCAACTTTTCATATACTAATTTGCATGTGTCCATGGGATTTTCATTTTCTGCTTGGTTTCGCTGCTTTTAGCGGTTGGTCAGTTGGGTTCTACCCATCACCTCCCAAATAAATAAATAAATATCCACGGCACTCTTGAGATGTAAATCCGGCCATGCCAAATTATATGCAACTCATGGTTTGTGCAGGCTGCGTCATGTCAGTCCGCAGGTTAGACCGGGCCGTGCTTGTCTCTTTTGAGATAACCAGGCTGAGCCTTGGGCTAGGTCAGACCGTGGGTCATGTCATGAGTTTTTAAAAAAATTTAAAAAAATAATAAAAATTTAAAAATAAATTAACAAAATAGTATGAAATAATATAATATTTTTTATATGATTTTTTATGTAAAAATGAAATTACAAAAAAATTACAATATAACTGAAATAAATTAATATAATAAAATTAAAAATAAAAATCTATACACTTAATACATTATATAATTATTATTGCACATATATAATATATACATAATATAATGGCCATGCCAGCTAATGGGCCTGAAAACTCAAGCCCGGCACGGCCCATACCTTCATGCCATGCCTGGCACGGCTTGCGTGCACAGCTCTATTTCTAAATTTCTTTACTCATGGTCTCGTGCGACGCCAAAAGTAGCGTGACCAAATGGGCACTAAAATGTATAAGCCCATGAAGATCCATTGGAACTCCAAACACTAATGCTTTAATTGAGAATGTCCTCCCTTCCTAAGAAACCAATTTCAATCGATACCTATAGTATTAATATCAGGAAATGATTATGGAGATATCTTACAATACTCTCAGTAGCTTAAGGTTGCCAAGCTCCTCCGGAATAGTTCCAGATAATGCATTAACAGCAAGTGACCTAGCAATCAAACTATAAGTTACAAAAACAAACTAGCATAACTGAGAAAGTAATCACAAATAACTATTATTGTAATTTCAATTTTATCTAGGGTGTTACTGTAAGTTCAAGTTATGATGAGCTCCTTTTGCAATTCCAGTTATATTTATATCTGACTTGTTCAGAAAAGCTAACTGCTATATGTGGGCTTAATTGTTTATTTTGTAACTTGGATAGAGGAGAGATGTAGACCATGCATTGTATGTTGTTTGCAGGGATATGGTTCTCTTTGTTGATTTACCGTAAAAATCCGGTTTCTTATTTAATTTTTCTTGCTATGGTTTGGTTGTTTACCTTTTCAAGTTTCAACTATGTTATCTCTGCTCTATTCTAAGCAGTGTTGATGGATTCTCTTAAATGATGGGAGTGTATATATATATGTATCGGATGCAGTTACGAGCCTATATATAATCTTAAATTTCAAAAGAAATATGGACCATGGCATGAGCTATCCCCAGTTTGTGTAATTATTTTTCCTTGTATTACCAGAAAAGTAAAAAGGAAATATGAATTATTTTAATAGTTTTATATATACTTTTCCACAGAGGTGTTGAGTCCTCGTTTTTCTTTCTCTTGCTGAAAAATCTTATATACGTGCCAGATTCTGATTATTGTGCCCTTCTCCATGCAACATCGGCTCAATTCAAAACTGGACCAAGTTGGTTATAAGAAATTCCATGAACGAGAACAACCAATTTAAGATGTCTTTAACCTATGCAAAATAGGCTTTCTACCCCTTGTTGTGGCATTGATTCAGGGTTTGGAAGTTGGCTTATAATACTACCTTAAGAAGACCAATAAAGAATTATATATCTAATGACCTAATAGTTGCATCCTGATTTCTGAGGACAATTTTGCCCATCCAATTCAATTGTATCTTTCTCCTAGCATTTTCCCCCTTTTACATAAATAGTGTATCAACACCATCTTATTAATTTATTTGTTTAGTAATTGATTCTCCTCATGGTTCATGGATTATTAATTTTATATATAACATTTTTACTTTTTCCATCTAGTTTCTTCAAATCCTAAAATTCCTTTCTTTTATGGTTTAATCTAAAAATTATAAGGCTCTCCATGTACTTTTCTCATGAAGAACTTAAATAGTACTAATAGAAAAACTATAAATGGTTAAAAATGTGATAAATAGAGTAGAATGATATGGTGTAGTCTTCTATAGAATGATTAGAAATAAAATCTACTACAAGGAATATATTGTTGAAATTAAAAGGTTCTTAATATAAAAAGTGGAAAGTATAATAGGGGATAAGCTCAATTTCCTTGATCTTATGCATTTAAGGGGTGTTTGCCAATATGTATGATTTTTTTTCAAAACAACAATTTTCCACATCAGGAAAACATGTTAGTTTTATCGACATTGCAGTTGTTTTTGTTTTCAAAAACAATATCATATATATTGGCTAATAACCCTTAAATTTCAATTGAATTAATCTTGAACTTATTATGTTTTCTCATGAAAGAATTTGACTTACAGAACATCCAATGAAGATAAATTTCCAATAAATGCAGGTATGGGACCTGTTAAGTAATTCTGATCCAACTTCCTGCAAGAATAGTAAATAGCAATACTCATTATTAGCAGTAATTAAGTGGACTGACAATTTTTTTTTCTAATTGTACATCATTAAATATGACTTGTATAAACCATCAATAAACAAATCTTATCACAGCCATTAAAAAAGAAGATTCGGCAGAACATCTATCTAATATGAACTGATAGAAGAATTTCGTTATAGGCTTGAACTAAAACCAGATATTTTTTCATGCTAAGATATTATCTAACAAAAAAAATAGCAAGATTGAATGATTGGAGGTGGAAATATAAATTATCCATGTCTATATTTGTACTACTATTAAAAGTACAAATGAGATTGTAGAACTTTTCTTCTTGACTAAAATACCTTCATTCTTGAATTTGGTGTCTCTCTAATTGTGAGAGAAAGAAAATTAATTTGAACTACTACTTTTTACTTCATTCAATTTCCTCTTACTAAATCTTATATTAAAGGTATTAGCTCATATTTTCTCTAATTAAATCCTACATTTCATGTATTTTCTCTCACTAATTAATTCTATTAATTAGATCTATATCCAATACTTCAAACAAAATGAAATCTATGTTTTTTAAAAGCTGACCCAAAAATAAAATTGTTCTTCCATGTAGTCTTAGAGGCAGGTAAGCAATTCAACCATTTAGGTAAAATGAGTCACAATATGAAATTGTTAAGTAATACCGTTTTCAAAATAGAACTGAATATAAAAATAAAAAAAAAAAAATTGTAAAAACTTTTTGGCATATCTTTAATATTTTACATTAATCATATTAAAGAAAAATAAGTGTGATAAATAAAAATTGTTTTTGTTGTTTTCCAATTTGATTGTGAGTCAACAATTCAACCTTTTGGGTCAAATGTGTCAACCTTTGATGTCATAATTAAATAATAAAAATTAAAAGAAAGATAAATAATACAAAAAATATAAATTTTATAAAAAATCATTTGAACACATATCTAATATTATATATATTTTCTATGTTAAAAGATAAATATGATAAATAAGAATTATTTTTATAAATAGACATAAAAAATTATAATAAAATTTCGACGCATATTATTACTATTTATTACTACTATCGTTATTATTACCATCATATTTACACATTTTCTAGGTGCGAAACAATTTAGGAGACTCGAGAGACACCCTAAAAATCATGCAACCAATTTATCCAGCATTGCTGATTTTTTGCAACATTTGATAGGACATAGATGGACCTTATAATAGGATTAGATAATGAAGTACAGAAGGTTTACCTATAGTCTAACTCTGTTCCATATCCGAAGTCAGTGGGTACAGATTCTCATAAAGATCCACATTTTAAAATAAATGAACAGGAACCCAATCCATGCATTAAATCTCCTTTGTAGGATCTGACCCGTAATCTCCTTTGTAGGATCCATGACCCTTAATCTGGCTCATGGATCTATTTCATGAGACCAGGCAAGGATTCAAAGCTGCAATAGAATCTGTTTATTACGGGTCATTTGACAAGTTTTTTTGGGAAGATCTTTTATTAGTTCTGACTGTTAAACATGTATTGAGCATTTGTATTAAGATCTTAGCAGCTTGAAATATGTTTGGTTAAGGCATATATTTCTATGTAAATACGAATAGAAAAAAAAAACAAAAAAAAAAACGTAAAAACTCCATTTAAAACTTCCCAAATATCGCCTGGTTTAAGCTTTTTGCATTTTTTCAGTGCATTGACTTTTAATGACTAAATGTGTTAAACTTGTAAATAACCGATAGACCGCACGAAAAAACACGTTAAATAGGGCCTACTTTTCTTGCTGATTTAGTACCAAGGCCTAGCTCTGCCTTTAAAGCTCGGTAAAGCTTTGAGAATCAGGTATATGGGCTTGTTGGCCTGTATTAATTGAGCCAGATTGATAAATTGGTGAGACAAATATTGGTTGTATTGTCAAAATAAGGATATCTTTGACTATTCGTCCGTGTTATACAATATACAGGGATAAAAGCTTGGTTGGCACGTTCCCATATCTGTGTTTTTCATAAACACGTTATCCTGTTTTCTAATATGCCATTTAATCAAAATAATTAAAAATTATAGAAAAGAAAACATTATATTAGGGGGACAAACGTTTATGTTTTGGTTTCTATAAATAATTTATGCTCCGTTTGGATAAATTTTTGCTTTTTAGTTTTGGGCTCAGGAAAATAAAGATGGGTCAAAAGTGTATTATGCGTTTGATAAAAGATGCTTGTAGAAACATATTATTGAAGCCAAATCACTTTGAAGACCCAAAGCAGAAAACTTAGAACTGGGACTTTGTCCTTTTTGAGTTTTAAAGGACAAACCTTGAAGCTTATCCAAACGCAACATTAGTTAGTCAATAAAAAGTACCTATGAATGGATTATTGTTTATGGACCGATGGGCCTGGGCATATCAATCAATTAAGATGCCGAGTTGTCTATTACTTGCTAGGTGGAATTCAAGTTGGGTTGCTCCCATGTCGGTCGTTTCATGGCTAGCCCAATACCAATAGCAGGCCTTGACCTAGTCGGACCATGACCCGAATATATACTAGCCACTAGCCAGTCTTTTCGAACAAGCCATAAAGGCAATTTTGTCAGTCCGGGTTCAGAACTGTTTTCGCATGTGTAATAAGAAAATCCCCAATTCAAGCTAATCAACAATCAGTATAATAATTAAAAAACTGAAAATAAAAAATAGATTGACAGGATAGAGGTTGAAAAGTCTTACAGAAAAACGAGATATTTCAAATTGTCAAGCTCTTCTGGAATTGTTCCTTGCAAATTCATCTCAAGTATTTTCCTGGCAACGCAAACAAAATTCATGAGAATAAATAATTACGATGGTTGGCCAGGTAGGGTTGGACCTGGGTCTCGAATTTGGAACAGATTTGTCAGACGGGTTGGACCTGGGTCAGGTCTTAAAGGAACTGCACGATTGATTCAATCAAATTTACTGCAGATCCACATCATCAAAAGCCAGAGCTGGTGTTTGAATACGGAATTTTTCAATGATCCAAACCCGTTAAGCTTGTGTTTAGAATTGATCTGGTCTCAAACCTTACCCTCTCCTTACATTACATGTCCTACTGAGAAAATTCTATGATTTCGATCGATTAGGGTGCAACTGGGGTTGATTCAATCTGAAAACATCAGGTTCGGTTGGGTCCGATTGAAGTTTAGGTTAGGATTTGAAAGATATGAACCTAATTTTAACTATGGATTGTCAATCCGACCCAATTCGAATTCAGCATGTCTTCAAAATTCAAATTTGTATGTAAAAAACTATAAATATTATAAAATATGCAGGGGTGCAACTTCGGCAGATGAGTTGAACTTTTATCATTTTCAGAAAAAAAAAAAAGTTCTAGAACTTTTATCAAAATTTAAATGAACCGCCGCTCAACGGCTCAAACCAACAAATAATATAAGGAGAAAATTCACAATTACTACTCTGTACTTTGAAACGTGATAATTCAATAGCTAGACTTTCAAAATGTGCCAATCCAGTATTTTTCATTAACCATGGCATTTGGAAAGGTATAAATGCCCTTTGAATATCATCTACTTTTTTTTATCAATCATCTAAACGTTGACAAAAAATAAACAATTCTAAGTCATTGCCTCTTCTATTCAAGAAAGTTGGGGGCTGTCTCGGTGGGCATTTTGGTGATCCCAACTTTCTTGAACACAAGAGGAAAGGATTTGGGACTATTTATTTTACATCAATGTTTGGATAATTTGATAAAGAAAATGGAGAAGAACGGATAGGCCAATTGCAGAATTCTGATTTTCACTGTAGATCTACAACATTTCGAAAGGTCAATTACCCCCACCCTATGCATCAATGCTCGCCCATGAATTGGCATCAATTCCAAGCTGGCACATACCCCAACTGTTCTAAACCTATGAGTTCTTACCCTAGGCTGAATTGTCATTCTCCCTAAAGAAAATTAGATGACACTAATGTCTTTTTAAATGCCACTTAACAGCTAGTTAATGGGCCGGTTAATGATAAGTACAAATTGACACATTTTGAAAATTTGGATACTGAATTATCACATTTCAAAATTCGAGAACCAAAGTAACACTATGCCCAAAATACATGATACCAATCAGGAATTTTCCCTATAAAATATTAATTCATGTCAACCCAAGCTCAACCCAAAAAAGTCGGATTGGAGTTTCAATAACTCGGGTTGGATTTGGGATAGGATTAACCTCAACCCGAACTTATCCGACCCAACCTTGCACCCCCTAATTTCAGTCATTTTGGTAAAATAATTTCAACGATGATTCGTGAATTAAGGTAGAATAAGGATGTTGAGCAGTTGAGGTCAGACCATAGTTTTGAAAACCGGGTTGGGTGACCCGATCTAACCAAAATAAGGATGAGATGAGCTGATCACCAATTTCGTGTCCAGTTTTTACAGCATGAGAGATGGAAAGAGAAACCTACAGATGTGTAATGTGACAAGTGGCTCCATTATTGTAAGAACAGCTGCACTTGAGCCCCGGGTTGTAACTGGAGTCGTCGATGTTGGTTGACTCGATGATGGCAGCACCACTACACGGGTCTCCAGTCGTGTTCCATGAATTAGCGGGTCGGATATTCCATCTTCGAAAGATAGAATTTATGGCCGTTACTGTTTCATACATCAAATCCGTCACATAAATATCTAAGGAAAAACATGTTTCGTATTCACAAAATAGCTACCCAAACTTTTACGTGTATCAAATAACATCCTCTGTTGGTAAATTCAGTAAAAAATATTGATAAAAAAATGGTCATGTGGGTATCACGCGACCTTTTTAAGTTTTTTTTTTTTTTTTTTTACCTCATTTGAGTTTTCCTAGGACAGAGGTGTATGAGATTTTTTGGTTATATGACTTTTACAGCTTTAGTATGACCTCTATGGTCCTATGGCTATGGACCTGAACTTCAATACCAGAGGCTTATTTCAATGAAAATATAGAAATAAAACCAAACCAATGGGGTAATGCACTAATGTGGTTGTTTTCCTCTCCCTGTTAATGCCACTTAACATTTACATGTAGAGGCATGTTTGAAACTTTTCATAACTAAGGCACAATCCCATAGTTTTGGTGTTTTTGGAGTTTACTTATAAAATAATTACAAAGAGCCACCAAAGAGTTCAAGATTCAATGATAAGTTACTTAAAAAAAATCAATGATAAATAACTTTTCTTTTGGATAAATTACAAACTGCCACCTTCTACTGGGAATAGTGATACTTAAAACCTTCCAAACTTTCATTTGTATAAAACCAACCACCTTGATCTTTCAGATTCTTAACACTTTGCCCCTATTGTTAGTATTCTGTCTAGATTCTTAGCACTTTGCCCCTATTGTTAGTATTCTGTCTAGAGATGTTAGTGGGTTGGGTTAGGTGGTGTAAATTAGGGCTTTTCATAAGAAGACCTAACCCGACCAAACCGACCAATCCGGACTGACCCAATCCAAGTCAGCCGGGTTTTCTTCAGCATTGGTCGGTTTTGGGTTATAAAAAATTATAAACCGATGATTCGGTTCGGTTTCGGTTTTCATATGCCAATCCAAATCAAACCAACTTAATAGTTAGTTTCTAGTTAGTAGTTACAAGTTACAACCTACTTAGTTCCTAGTTAACTAAGTTGTCTCTATCCTAGTTACACTTTAAGTTAGGTTGTACAGCAACTAAGTCACCACTAAGTAGAGCCAAAACCGACCCAAACTAACCCAAACCGACTCAAACCGATCAGGTCGGTTTTGCTTAACATAGGGTCAGTTTTGGTTTCAATTTCAGGTAACCTGACCAGGCCGAGTCGGTTGAAAAAATATTAGTAAACTGACCCAACCCGACCCATGAACAGCCCTAGTGTAAATCCACACTAATCTGACCCTATCAAGTTAGGGTCAGGTTAGTCTTAGTTAGAGTTCGGGTTGGGTTTGGGATGAACCCATATTGCCTGAGTTGACACTATAGTCTTGAATAGTGGTGTCAATTGGACTAGATTTGGTCCAGTCCAATCGTCCAATGTGAGTTCATTATAAATGGACCAGGTCCAATCCAATCCAATAAATGTTTTGGACCAATTTGGACCAGTTCAATTTAATGTTTGGACTGTTCAATATGTTCCATTGACACATATATTCTTATCTTATATCAATGGACTAGATATTGGTTTAATCCAACCCAATCCAATATAAATTTGTTATAGATGGACCAAGTCCAATCCAGTCTAATAAATATTTTGGACTAGATTAGTCCAATCCAATATCTCCCCATGGATAATAACATGTAAGGGAATGAGATGTTTCCCATGTGTGACTGCAATGTTATGTAAGTAGATGTGGGCAGAGTTATCGTAGGTAGGAAATCCGGACTCAACATGACCCATTGACATCCCTAATTCTGTCAATTAACTCAAGAAAAGATTCAAATGTAACTATCATATGCATGTTTATGAAACCTCAAACAGAGCCCAATGGACTTGAAGTGTGAACAACACAGAGCCGCCCATATCTTGTACTGAAACTTAATTAATTATAATAGGATGACGAGAATCAAACATTAGACTATTTAGTCAAAATGACTTTGATGCAATCTCAAAAAACCATTCAACCTAAAAGCTTAAACTATTAAGTGAAATCCTTGAATATGTTTTATTCTCTAACACAGATAAACAGGTGCTTCTCAAAGATGATTATTCCGTTGTCATCAACCATTTCAGAGACAAGCGGATTGAGGCACCTTGGAGGTGGAGCCATTTGCTGGTGGATGCCAAGAGTCTTGCTTCTATTAATGACCTTATTTCAGTTTAGTACATTCAACGAACTCAAAATATTGTTGTTGATGGATTTGTTAAGTGGTGTTTATTGTCAAATACATTTGGAGATTGGCCTAGCAGTGCTCCCTCATGTATTCCCTTCTTATCGAATTAAATTTTTTTCTAGTAGCAAAAAAAAAGAAGCGAAGAAAAAAGTGGGAAACTACTACAAAAAATACAGAAAATAAAACAAAAAAAATGATGAAATAAAGGAAAATAACAAAATAAAAAACAGAAAACCTTGCTTCATTTTGTCAGGCCGGGGCAGGTTTGGGTTAATATTGCTTAGGGTCAGGTTCGGGTGCTGACTATCATATGCATATTTATGAAAACGAATTCGAGAGGATTAGATCTGGTCTCCTTGGAGAGATATTCCTAATACAAGGGTGGGTGTACTATGAGATCGGTGTGAGATACATGGAGAAAATCCCAATTCCCATTTTAGCCCAATTGAATTGTTATTTAGCCAAGTTGGTTAGGTAAAAACCATGAGTAGAGACAGAATTGGTTATGGGAAGTCCACCATCTCCACTCATCTAAAAGGGATTTTGAAAAATAATAAGATAGGAATCTAAAGCAAGGACTAAAATATTAGTATCAGGTATCATAGCGAACAACTTGGATATGGATACGGATACGGGTACGCTTGGAAAACACATGGATACAGATGAAAATTATAAAAATGCTTTAATACGCTAAGGAAATGCATATAAATTCAATAATTATATTAATAACTTCAAGTTTAATGTAAAGATAACTACAAATAACGTATAAATACATAGGAATTATATATTTTAATGGTATATCTGAAGAAATATATTATTATTGATATAACAAGATGCATAGATATTATACAATTTTATTGGTAATGCATCAATTTTTATTTTTATTAAAATCCAAGGACAAAAAATATGCAACCAATATATTTGAATTATTATATCAATTATTTTTATTTTACTATTTCAGTTTTTAACATCAACAAAAAAAAAATCAACTAAAAATTAATTTGTAAATGTTTAGTAAATAATACTTTCACTTTTGTAAACAATAAATATGTTTATATAAAATTTAAATGGAATTTTGAAGATGCATATCATATGAAAATTCATAAATTTTAATTACTAAAATAATTATTCATTATTAATATTTTTTTTTAAATAGAAAAATATTTTTTATTTAAATGTAGATTAGTGGATTTGATAGATTCAATTTTTATTATATTCTTAACTATTTTGTAAACAATATTTTGTCTTTTTAATAATAAATACATTGTTATTTAATGTAAATTAAAATATTAACTAATAATTTATAAAATAATTATTATAATTTATCAAATCTACATAAATAATTCTAAGTATTAAAATAATTATTCTATTAATAATACTTTTATTTGTATAAATATATTGAAATTAAAAATCATTTATATATATGTGAATTTGATAAATTATTTTTTATTGGTTTATAAAATAATAATTTTGAATATTATTCTTGCTAATTTGTACTTGGAGTTATTGAGTATACTATTTGTTTAGATTAAATGTAATAATTAAGTTTAATAAAAGAAAATATAAGGTAACTTGATGGTTAAGGTCCCTATGCTCTTGGATGCTATGCAACTCGGGTTTTAGGATCGAATCATGCTAAACTCTTTTTTGTAGCGAAGTATCGGTATGTATCAGCTGATACACATACGGTATGGTGTCTGAATCATGCTAAACTCCTTTTTGTAGCGAAGTATCGGTATGTATCGGCTGATACACATACAATATGGTGTCTGTAGAGGTGTAGATCTCGTATCTTCTCTTACTGATATTATTGAGTTCAAGTCGAATTGGATCTTCATAATACCTGATTCAATTCATGAACCTAATCTGATATATAATAAAATATTAATTTTTAACTTTTTTTTTGGGAAAATCTATAATGCAGGAAAGAAATGATATAAAAAGAATTTTGATCAATCAAAATTCACCCATAAATTTTGATAAATAACACCTTATTTGCTATCATGTTTATGATACCAGTTGTTTTTGGATATCATATCTTTTCTATATAAATAAATAAAACTTTATAATTGAATTTATAATATATTTTCTTTATAACATTTATAATATTATTATATTTATAATCGAATTAAATTGAGTCAAAACACTCGAATCGAGTTTGAATGGAAAATTTAAAGCTCCACGGTCCAAACTTATAGTCAAGTTGAGCACCAATATAAGCTAAGAGGAAGTCATATAAGAGCCAAAAAAAGAAAAAAAAAAAACCATGTCTTTGACAGAGTGCAACTTGGCATGGCCTAATGATGTGAACCCAGATTTCCTACCCATTCTCTATCCGCCGTGACACATCTATCTAACACAAATGTCTCTTAACTGTTGTCTGTTGACGTAGTGGTGAGTATGAAAACGTATATTGTCTTTCTCGTTCAAAGACAATGCCTCTTGACTCTTGATTTGAATCCTCGAAAAGAGATTAAAGAAAAAACTGAAATTCTTTATTCAGATGATGTGATTTGACCCTTACAACCTGGATGCCGATCTCAACTCATAATCAAATTTTCCAAAGATAATTTGTATAAAAAATGTCCAAAAGCAGTAAACTTATTAAATAGCAAAATTTTACTTAGAATGGAAATTGGCCCGACTCGAAATCCCAATATCTAAACAAAATATAATTTGTTAATTTTTGGAATTCTCAAAAATGACAAAATTCCATGACTTACTAAAAATAGTAAATTTTCTAAAATTACATATGTCAAAGCCTATAAAAAAGGGCGTAGAAGAAAAATCTGCCTCTACATACAAGTCCTGAAGTCCTTATCAAGTATCAAGCCACGTCAAATCCATCGTTCATTCGCTTGAATTTAAGTTATAGCCTCCGCCTTTCCCATGTGTTAGGCCATTTGTATTTCTTTTTTTCTAATTTAACCGCTCTAAGGAGTTTATGGCGCCAGTATCCGCTTTACATAATAACACCAACTGGTTCAAGCCGATTCTAATCGGGATTGAGAGATTGGTTTGACAAATTTTAGGTTCAACCTGACTCGATCTGACCTTAAGCCTTTTTTTTTTCTGTAGTTTAGGCAATACACACATGTAATCTTTATGGAATTTTAGTTTTAATTAGGAGAATTAAAAAATTATTCAGTTAAAATGAAAAACTGAATTCAAAATTTCAGTTTTATTTTTATTTTTTTGGTTTTTGGTTAATTCGGTTCAGTTAGTTCAGTTTAGAGTTTTAAAAGTATAAATATGATTAATCCAAAAAATAAAATTAACTGAATTTCATTATATAATATATATATATTTATTTATATATTAATATACAATATATAATATATTCTAATGAAATTTGGTTCTCATAACATATATTATATTATTAAAATACAGTTTTAACCAAAATAATTGAATGCTAAACCAAAAATTTCAATTTAGATTATTTTGGTTTTCCTATAATTTGGCTTTGGTTCGATTTTTAATTTTTAATTTTGGTTTTTAGAGTTATGATTTATTTGGTTTTTAATCAAATAAACTGAATACTCACCCCAACTACCACTATTATAATACCGGTTGATTGGTTACAAATATTTCCAGTATCATACTCAAACCCATATATAAATGTCAGTCAACCTTAATCCACTAATTTTAAGTTTGAGAAGTAAGAACATTTTTAACAAAAAATGAAGAAATTAGACCAATCTTAACCCAAACCTAGTTCAACCCAATCCAAAGTCATCAATGGTTAGGGCAAATCTAACCCGGCCGAACTTACACCCTAATTGTGTTAGAATTATTGGTTTGTGTTTTTGGTTCAACCTAAGCTAACTTAAAGCCATTTCAACCCGAACTCATTTGGACCTTAATGAAACATGATTATCAAATCCGATCCAATCTGTGGCATTAACAGTATATTTGTTTTTACTAAAAGGCTATACGTACAACCATTTAAGTGTCACTATACCAACAACTCAGATTCGACATCGGCCAATCCAATCCAAGCCCAACCCTAAACCTGATGAAGACTGAGTGGAACCTTGCTTTAAGAGATCCGAATAACATGGATTTACCACCGGACCCGACCAACTGCCATTTCTACAGCTAATCATCAAGAAGATTCAGACTTCATTCTAGAGCCAACCTGTATGAACCGCACACGGACCCTGAATTTAACAAGTTTCCCATTTCTTATGTCGGCACCCGAGGTTTGACGTAGAGGGGATGTTTGTCCTAAACGCTCGTAAACGCTTAGTTGGAAACAGTACAAATGGAAATATGTATAACGTAAATACATACAAAATAATATAAAATATAAAGTTTTGCATTCTATACATTTGAATTTTTATTCTTTTTAAACTCAGCCGTGAAGTAAATGTTCAGGGATAATCATTAACCCCTAATATAGACTACCTGTAATTTGACTCAAATAAAAATAAACTTTATAAAAAAATATATCTTTAATATTTTTCTTATAGAGCCATGGAGCTATTAATTTATTGCAGATTATTTTCTTAAGTAACTTGTAAGATATTTTATACAGATCGGTCAAACATGACACGTCATGTCTCAATAAACATATATGGAATTATGGATAAGAATATGATAGGGACGATGCAAAATAATATAAAATACTTCATAACTACATTATTTAATTTTTAAAGAGAAATATACGATATAATAAACATGCATATCTCTGTACATGGTCTTAAATGCATTGATCTAAAGGGTCCCACTACTGACATGACATAGGTTGCTGGCCCTTCAATCTTCCACCGTTAATTATAACCATCTTATTCGGTTGGCGGTATGTGGTCAGACCCAGAAAAATCTTTTGACTACCCAAGAACTGAGACATGAGCGAAGAAAATTTAGAATTTCTGAAGCTAATTAGTTTCGTTGCAAGTTTTGGGAACGTCTGGGAGATGGGAACAGGGTTCCCGGATGGTCGGCGATGACGTTGCTCCAGAGAGATTTGTTGGACTTTCGATAGTTTGACATCCAATCGATAAGGACAGGGAAGACATTAACGTGGTAGTCGGATAGATTTTGACAATAGGAAACAGCTGAGGAAAGATAAATTGGACCATTGGAGTTGGAGGGTGTGGCCGGCAGCCCAGCCGGCCGGAATCCCTAGCTGAGTTTTTCAACAACGGCAGCCGGCAAAAGCGGTTGAGAAACGTAAACTTGACGGAGACACAGAGTGATTATATGACCACCGAGCAGTCACTACGATAGAAACGAATTTGATTTGGATATATAAATTCAGGTTACTGAATACTGAGGCTGATAGATCCAGCTCTGCGGCGAAATAGAGCGCTGAGAACTGGAGTTTAATTCGCAGGTATAATAGAACGCAGATTCGGCGTTTTGAATCGCAGTCACTAATTGAGATTGTAGAATCTCAAGGTTATGGTCAATCGGATCTGCCAACGACTTATCTACTGTTAGATCTGGACATGCTTTCTGGCAGACAGTAGCATCATCTGATGATTAACGATGTTTTTATATATGGTCTATCAAACATTCAAATTAATTACCAATTATACGCATATATTGATGAAGACAGAGAAGGAGATAGAGAGATATTAACAGAGAGAGAGAGAGAGAGGTACCTTCAATTGGATCAGTAGCTTGAGCTTGGGATCTATCGACCAGGCAAGAGAAGAAAATGCAGCTCCAAACGACGGCAACAGCTAGAGAACACGAAAACGTCGACATAACCTTCATCTTCTGTTTAGAATCTATCATGTTGTGAAGGGCAAGAGGTAACTGAGCATTCAGTTATGAGAGAGAGAGAAACAGAGAGAGAGGAATTTTAAAGCTGATGTCTGAGGAGCAAAAGGCAATTAAGAATGATACATGTCAAAGTGAACACGATTTGATAATACGGAGGCCAATTGTCAAAAAGTAAGGTGACGTAGACACGTTCACGACCTCAGTCAATGTTGTTGGGCAGACGCCACCGTGGGAAGCTTGGGACCAGCCAGAGAGAGCTACTTTGCTCGCATTGGTGCTGGTGGATGAGCTCCAGCTGCTCCACATTTTCATTTTGTTTCTTTAATTGTTACTTGAGGCTTCTCTTCCAATGAACATGGGAGGCGAGGGGATTAGAAAGGCAAAGTTAAAGTTCATAAATCAAGTAAATATATGTGGACAGTTCTGATTGAGTTTTTTTTTTTTCGATTAATTTTCACCTTTAACCGCTTTTTTTCCCAAAGTGCTGGTTGCGGGATTGGATTTATTCCGCGTCAATGAGTTGAAAAATAAATTTATAAGCATTGATGTGGGTCAGTTTGGCCCAGCCCACATAGTGGCTGGGAGGCCCTGCTAGCGTCAGCAACAATTAGGGAGCTTTGCTGTGGAGTCAATCACATAGCTGTTTGGTGTATTCGCCGGGGCATGTAGTCTGACCTCGTACGGTTTTCATCTGGGATGTTCATCTTCACCTATCCCCAGCATGCTCAAGTATAAATAAGAAGTAACTATCCCTTAAAAGGGGCTAGAACAGAGAAACTTTAACATCACTCAATCGTTTACTCCCTGCACCTGCATTGTCTACCTAGCATTGATTCAGGGAGATCTAGTACATCCGAGGACTCTTTTCAAGGGCTCTCCTACACAATTCCTTACTCTACACCTCGTACTAACTTGAGCGTCAGAGCCTCTACCTCGGGTATCCATCCTGAGGCCTCTGACACTCCTTGTCTTGCAGTATCTTTGGCCACCTAGGACTTCGCCTCGACTTGCAGTCCTTGGCTACCGTAGTCCTCGGAAGGAACACCTCTTCTCGACCAGCAGTCCTCGGCTACCATTAGTCCTCGGAAGGAACACTTCGCCTCAGCTTCGATCAATCTCTTCCGAGGCCCCAAGGTCCTCGGCTAACACTCGGAACCTGAAAAGTGAATTTACCTCGTTGCCCTCGGCCAATCCGCACGGCAACAATTGGCGCCGTCTGTGGGAACCCGTTGCTAAGACGATACCCACTTTAGGATAAAAAGTAATAATACTCAAAATCCAAACCCCCCATAAGCTCGAAAGTCATGGTGAGGAGAGGCAGGAATAGTCAGAACCTAGCCACCTATGAGCAATTTCAAGTCGTCATCGATCGTTTGGACTGCCTCACCCAACGAATGGAGGAAGTTTTCCCCCAAGTAGGAGGTCCCTCTCAAGGCGACTGCCCCGTTGGGGTGTCAGAAGATGAAGGCCGACATGAGAACATTGAGCCACCAGCTCTCGGCCACGGAAATCCGCTGGCTGAACCGTTAGAATCGGGCGATAATCGCCTCTCGGACTCACCTCGAAGGAATATCTGTCTTCCTAGCCAAAGAGAGAGCGTGCCTGCTCAATCCGAGGACAGTCATCAATCTTCGAAGCAGCACCACCGCCGCCGTAGGAAGGCCCCCCGGGACGATGGCGGGCACCTCGGTCGCCCTAAAGTTCGCTCCTAAAGCGAGAGCCGATGCCACCCCACCCCACCTCTCGTCTCAAATCTAAGGGGCATTTTGAACAATCATCACGCCTGTAGAGGAGCGTGCGACCCTATCTCGGAATATTTAGGAGTCCGAGCTGACACCCACCGGGTCCGCGAAGACAGGAGCAGGTCCCATGCCCGTGCTGACCTATGGTTCGCTGAATTGAGAGCCGAGATTGGGGCCGTAAAGGACAAGCTCCGCCAGGTTAAGGAGAGCCGAGCTGATGCCTTAACCAGTCACGACAACTCCACCGGCCGCATGGATGCATTCACCCTAGAAATCATCTCGGAGCCTCTCCCCCCACACTTTAAGGCACTCATGATACTATACGGCTACTCCAACGCCTTGACGTGCCGGACCATACAGGCTACCTTTAGGGAAGCCGCTCGCAACTGGTTCTCTAGCCTTCCTCCTCGATCAATCAGCTCGTGGGAGCAATTTACACCCTTGTTCCTCGCCTACTTCATTAGTAGTAGATGATGTCGGAAGAGTGTGGTCTCTCTAATGTCGTTCAAACAGGAGGCGGGTGAAAGCCTTTGGTCTTACATCGACTGCTTTAAGAAAGAAGAGCTCGAAGTTTGACACCTCGACCCTATGATCTCCATGCACGCAGCCATCAACGGACTCTGCCCCAGCTCAGCTCTCAAGTGCTTGGTTGCTAAGACTCCACCAAAGACTAAACTCGAATTCCTCAAAAAGGCCCCAAAATACATCGTGGCCGAGGACAGCCGAGAAAGGGTAGCCGAGCACCACGACGGGCCCCCGGAGAAGAAGAGGCAAGGTGGGGACCAACGCCACCCTAGCAACAATGGCGGAAAAGACAACAAGAAGCCCCCAGCTCTGGCCTTGGCCTACAAGGATTACACACCACTCAACTCCACCCGCACCTAGATACTGATGCAGATCAGGGAAGAGATGTTTGTGAAGTGGCCAACGAAGCTAAAGTGGAACCCCAAGAGGGGGAGCCCTACGAAGTACTGCAAGTACCACCGTAGCACCGGGCATGACACAGAGGACTGCTATGATCTAAAGAATGAAATAGAGTCTCTCATCCACCAAGGACACCTTAAGCAGTTTGTTGGAGGAGAGGCCAGCACCTCGTCATCCCAACAACAGCATCAGCAGCACTAGCAAGTGGCAGGTGTCATCGACATCATCGCCGGGGGCATGGCCTCGAGTGGAGCCTCGGCCTCGGCTCGAAAAGCCTACGCCAGGCAGCCCAACATCCATGCCCCGAAGAAGCAGAAGTACCCGGATGCTCCGTTGAGGTCGAGCTGTCCACATGCCCTCGTCTTCACCGACGAAGACTTAGAGGGGCTTGCTATCCCCCATGACGATGCCCTCATGGTCGCAGCCATCATCTCCAATTTTATGGTAAAGAAAATCTTAGTGGATAGTGGCTCGTCAACCGATATCCTTTTTTACGACACTTATGAGAGAATGAAGCTCGTGCCAGAGTGGCTCCAGCCCACCGATGCTCCCCTCGTTGGCTTCTCCGTCAACATCACTAGGCCAGAAGGAAAAACTACCCTACCCATCATGGTAGGGACAACGCCACACTAGGTAACTTGGATGCATGAGTTCCTAGTGGTGAAGGTTGCCTCTCCCTACAACGCGATAATGGGAAGACCAACCCTTCATGCACTAGGGGCAGTCATGTCTTCTTATCACCTAGCCCTTAAGTTCCCCACCGAGCACGGCATCGGAGTCGTTCGTGGGAACCAGCAGATCACCCGCCAATGCTATGTGGTGGCACTAAAAGGAAAAATAAGGAGAACTTGTCACTGGAAGGCCTCGACCCATGGGAAAAGCCAGTGAGCCGAGGACCTCGTCTTGGTTCTCCTGGATGAATCAAACCCAGAAAAGACGGTCCGTGTTGGGTCCAATCTCCCCCCTGAACGTCTGTTTGAACTGGTAGGTTTCCTTAGAACTAATGCCAACGTCTTTGCTTGGTCCGCCGTTGACATGCCCAAAATTGACCTTTCGATCATTACTCATAGGCTGAGCATAGACCCGATCTCTAGGCCAGTCCAGCAAAAGAAGAGGAACTTTGCACCTGAACGATGGAAAGGCTATAGGAGAGGAAGTTGATAAGCTACTCGATGCTGGTTTCATCCATGAGCTACATTACCCCAACTGACTATCTAACGTGGTCTTGGTAAGAAAAGCTAATGGGAAATGGCAAATCTGTATTGACTTCACAGATCTCAACCGAACTTGTCTGAAGGATAGTTTTCCTTCCCAAGGATATACCTCCTCGTCGACACCACCGCAGGGTATGAACTACTCAGCTTCATGGATGCCTTCTCCGAGTACAACCAGATCCAGATGCACCCCAACAACGAGGAGAAGACATCTTTCATCACTGAGCACGACACGTATTGCTACAAGGTAATGTCGTTTGGCCTTAAGAATGTAGGGGCCACTTACTAGTGCCTTGTCAACAAGGTTTTCAAGAATCAGATGGGGAGGAACATCGAAGCCTACGTGGATGACATGGTAGTGAAGTGCCTGAAGGCCGAACCGCACACCTTGGACCTGGCTAAGACCTTTGATACTCTGCGTAAATTCAAGATGAAGCTCAACCAGAGCAAGTGTCCCTTCAGGGTTACCTTGGGAAAATTCTTAGGCTTTGTCATCACTCAAAGATGCATCGAAGCCAACCCATGCAAGGTACAGGCCATACTAGACATGGCATTCCCTCGGTCAGTAAAGGAGACTCAAAGACTCACTAGTAGGATAGCCGCCCTCAACCGTTTCATGTCAAAATTGGCAGATCGCTGCTTCCCTTCTTTCGCGCCATCAAGAAGCTAAAAGATTTTCAGTGGACAGAGGAGTGCCAGCGTGCCTTCGATGAGCTCAAGCTATACCTCGCCTCACTCCCGCTCCTCGCTCGACCTGTATCAAGGGAAACCCTATATTTATGCCTATAAGCCGGAGATGAGGTCGTCAACTCGGTCTTGGTAAAAGATGACAGAATCCAGAGACCTGTATACTATGTCAGCAAAGTCCTCAACGACACCGAGGCCAGGTACCCCGAAGTGGAAAAGCTAGCTTACGCCCTCATCACCTCGACTAGAAAGCTCAGGTCGTATTTCCAAGCCCACACCATAGTGGTCCTGACAAATCAGCCCCTTAGGGCCGTCCTCGCTAAGCCAAAGACTTTGGGACGCCCAATTAAGTGGGCGAAAGAACTATCGGAGTTTGACATACAATACCAGCTAAGGCCAATGATCAAAGCGCAAGCCTTGGCTGACTTCATAGCAGAAAGCACTTTCACTGGGCACCTCAACCGGCCTCTCAAAGATGAGTCAAAGGAAGCACGACCGGTCGAGGAGGCCCCCCCTCTGCATAGAGACTTTTTGTCGACGGTTCATCCAACGCCAAAGGGGGTGGAGCGGGCCTCATTATCCTCACCCCCGATGATATCGTCATAGAGTATGCACTAAGATTCGAGTTCCCTACATCCAACAATGAAGTCGAGTACGAAGCCCTCTTGGCAGGGTTGCAGCTTACCCGAGACC